CTGAACTGCAGCTCCTCTGTCCCTTTGGCAGCATTTGGCCCGCCACCAGTGCAGAGATCACGCTGCTGGGGCAGCCGCTTGGCAAATGGGGTTACCCTGGGAAGGAGTCCAGCCCACCAGCACTGTGCACATGAGGACACAGGACTGGGATAGACAAACCCCAGTGCCCATCCATCTCTGGGTACCCAGCAGGTCTGAGGAGTGTCTGCACCAGACTGGGGTATGGGTCCCTGACAGGGACAGCACCAGGCACTGGCATCCAGTGGTGCCCAGGGCTGGGAGAGTGCCCAGCTGCCATGCCTTTCATCATCGCTTGCTTGGATGAGTCAACACCACACACTTAACGATTGACAAGTGAAAATCTTCCCCAGGGTCAGGTCCATGAGCTTCCACAAAACCAGAAGACATTTCCGCCCCCACCAGCCTCCTGACTGGATGTGGCCAACGGGACAAGGGGCAGGAGAAAAGCCTGAGGCTCTGCAGCTTCTCACTCTGCCAGGACTGGGGAGAAACGTTGGGGCTAGGGGAGGGATAGGGGCTGGCAGCACTCTGCCACACAACAAATGCCCACAGGAAGGAAGAAGTGCTGAAACATCCCCATGGACCCTGGCCCAGCAATAAGAGATGGAGCTGCAGGCCAAACAAGAGATGAGACCCTGGCAAGAGCCATGAGCTGAGAATGCATAGACAGCAGCAGTACCACTGAGCACTGGGGACAAGGATTACAGCTGCCACCCATGCCTCGCTGCTCAAAGACAGGGAACTTTGCCCCAGCTTTGCAAACACAGGACATCATGCCCAGGAAAAGGCAAGCTTGCCTGCAGACACCTTCCCAAAATAACCCTGGCAACCAAATGCCTTGGCCATGGTTACAGAAAGCCCAGGGAGACCCAGCTCAATGGTCCCCATGGTGCCCCAGGAGCTGCCCCATATAGAGGGATGTGAGGCATCTCTTGTCCCCAGTCCTACAGAGACAGCTATCTGCAACCACATTTGGTCCCTGCTGCCCAAGGAGAGGGTCTGTGCTCCAGGGGAGCCTCTTTTCTCAGCTCCTGCTTGAAACAGCTGACATTTACACCCTGCACACAGCAGGGAGCAGCACCCACCCTATCCATTGCAAGCACAAAGGTTGCTGCACAGTGACAGTCTGCATCAGCCAGGAGACAGAGCAAGAACAGATCAAGATGGTCTTTAGCAAAATCCATCAATTTATTTATTTACACAGTTAGCAATAAATAGAGAAAAGCCAGGCAGCAGGGGTGCTGGGAGTGGGACCGACCCCTCTAGGAACAGGTCGGGAGCTCAGCAGAGCCCAAGTCCCATGGGACAGCAAGGGTGCAAGAAGGCAGAGGGACACAGCAATGGAGTTCCAACCCCTGGGGTAGGGTGAGACCCAAGCCCTGCTAGAGGGCAAGCCAAGGAGGTGAAGGACAAGAGTCGCAGAGGAAGCAGCAGGCACAGCCCAGTGCAGGCAGCTGCCTGGCCCCCCAGCACTGGGAGCAGAGCTGGCAACTTGAATCCCTCCAGTTTTCACAGCCCCCCCAGAGCAGAACTGCAGGGGAGGAGAGGGGCTTCTCCCCCCAGCCCAATTCCCAGCCTGGTGAGATGCCACCGCAGCTGGGACTAGACATGATGGGGGTGCATGTGAGCTGGGAAGGAATCCCATGGGCAGGGTTGCGCCAGATACTGACTGTACCAGCTTGGTGCCAAGCACAGAGACACCTGGACGACTCACTCTCCCTGCCCTGGCTCCACCAGAAGACCCCTAGCCACCTCTTAAGAGCTTCGTGCTCCAGTCCAGGGACCCAGCTCTCCTCTGGGAGCATCGGGCCAAGCCCCCCTGCCCCCCAAAAACAGGCAGTGGCCATGGGGCTGCAGGAAAGACAGATGCCATGGGGCAACCACCCCAGCACAGGCTCCTGTCTTTAAAAACCTACAATTTACATAAAACTGCCATTGTAAAACCTTCCCACAAAGCAGTGCCCTGCAGGGAGGGGGATGAACCCGCCCCAGGCTGAGCAAGGCAAACCCTAAAGTCCAGATCCGGCAGGAATAGGCAGAGCCCGGGGGCAACGTGCGGAGAAGGCAGCAGGCGTTACCGGCAGGTGCAAGACTCTGCAATCATGTTCTCATACTCCTTGTAGAGGATGCCGCCGTTGCGCTCAATCATGAGGACACTGATGGGGCTATAGCGGTAGGGAACGCAGGAAGGCCGGGGCACATTGGCATCCACCAGCTGATGGACAAAGCTCTGCACCACGGCATGGTTGGGCGCATGGTAGTCGTAGCGGAGCAGGTGGGGACAGGTACCCTTGCAGTATCGTGGGTTGTAGCGGTGGGGAGCGATGATCCAGTGGTCCCAGCCCAGCTGGGCAAAGCTGACAGGGAAGGGGCGCAGGGAACAGTCGCTTTTCTCCCCTCCCTGCTCCCGCAGGTAGCCAGGCAGGTCGTGAGCCAGCATCCCCGTGTCACGCCGGTGCCGGTGGGGCTCTGCCCCTGGAGGTGTCAGCCCAGCCCGGGTGTCATTGAGGTAGAGGAGGAGGAAGGGGTGGCTGGGGGCCATTGTGGCGCCACGGCCCCCCGCCCGGCCAGCACGCACACAAACATGCTGCAGCACCAGGCTTCCCGCACTGCCATTGCCCAGCACCAGGTAAGGGGTGATGTCCGCTTCAGCCCAGCCGTGGCGGGGGTGGGGAACAGGGCCTGGCGGCG